ATGAAGATTATAGTCGAAAGAGGGAATCAAGCCTGAGTTTACGGCCAATAGTCGGAAAAACAAAGGGAAAATCTGTCCTACGGATTTGGCCAGATACATCAATCAGGATAGTTAACCTAGTCAGCCTACGCGTCACTCTGCCAAACTGTTCCCCATCCCTCCCCTCCTCTTCCCCCCACCCAAGAAAAAAAAAAAAAAATCGTTCAAGATAGTGCTCCAACCTCAATCTCTTCCACCTATTATTAAGCCCAATACACTTCTCCACTCGAGGAATTGAGACTCAACTACTAGGCCAACTACCGGTAGGTACTTGATACGTGATTGCCACAGGGCTAGTTTCTCTAGCCCGCTTGCAGCAAGCGTTCTATACATGTGTTCTTCTTGTAATCAAGCCTTCGTCCGCTGTGCCTGTCGATAAAAGCCGCTACGAGTTGTCTCCGACGAACTTATTGCTTCAAAACTGCTTGCATGCGGAAGCCTTCATCCGCTGTGCCTCTCGATAAAAGCCGCTACGAGTTGTCTACGACGAACTTATTGCTTCAAAACTGCTTGCATGTGGTTCACATAGATCTTCTTCGTCCGCTGTGCCTCTCGATAAGCCGCTATGCGTTGTCTCCGACAAACTTGTTGCTTCAAAACTGCTTGCATGTGGTTCACATAGATCTTCAACGTCCGAGGATCCCAGCCGCTGAAGGGTGGCCAGGGAGATATCAATGGTAGAAAAGAAGTCATGGAGCGTAGGGGTGAATGGTAAGAAGGTGAGACGGATAGACCAACGGAAATCGAATAGAGCAGGCTCGAGTAGGGACTACCCGGATACTGAAGTACCAGAGCACAGAGGCACTCCCTCCCCCACTCAAGGAGGAGGTGGGCGGACTACTTTTCACTAGCCATCACCATAGTTAGAGACCGGGCAGGGCAAGTTAGGGGATGAAGGTAGCCAGCTCGTAGCCTCGTACTCATGGCACGTTGCCGAGGTAGCTCGTTACTCGTAGCCTCATACTCATGGCGCGTTGCAGAGGTAGCTAGTAGCCTCGTACTCATGGCACGTTGCCTAGGTAGCTCGTAGCCTCGCAGTCGTAGCCTCGTACTCATGGCGCGTTGCCGAGGTAGCTCATAGCCTCGTACTCGTCATAACTCATGGCACGTCGCCGCTCTCAGCTTGGCACGTCGCCGCTCTCAGCTCAACCGTAGCCTTAGGCGCGCAGCCACCAGGCCACCATGAGGTTCCAACGGCCTTAGGTGCGCCGCCATAGCCTTAGCGCGATGAAGGTAGCTCGTAGCCTCGTACTCATGGCGCGCTGCTGAGGTTGCCGGGGTAGCTCGTAGCCTCGTACTCATGGCATTGCCGCCCTCAGCTCAACCGTAGCCTTAGGTGTGCCGCCACCAGGCACCTGTGAACAGCCTTAGGTGCGCAGCCATCACGCCCTCAGCTCAACCGTAGCCTTAGGTGTGCAGCCACCAGGCACCTGTGAACAGCCTTAGGTGCGCAGCCATCACACGAACAGAGCGCGGTAAATTTAAGCCTTGTGCTCCACTGCCTATTTTAAGAGGAATTCCTCCAAGAATTGCGGGCTCCACTGGCGTTTCTACTTTTTCTTCCCTTTCGGGTATTCTGCCAAGATCACTGATGAATTCCCTACAATCACTGAAAGCCGGAGTTCTCCTCTGTTCTCCACGATCTCGTGCTGACTCTGGGGTTCTTAACTTGAGACTGTGTGTGCTGCTATCTTTTTCCAAGAATCCCCTAAGACACAGTTAAATGCATCAGGCCACGATTCTGGCCTCCATGGAAATGGTTCCAAGAATTCCCTAAAACATGGTTAAATGCATCAGGCCACGAATCTGACCTCGGCGGAAATTGAGAACACTATTTGCTCATGATTGAGGGGCGCTACTCTCATGCGAGTCCCGAAAGGGCAGGCAGGTGGAGCACCACAAATTCGGCCGGTTCTTACAGCATGGGCGCCGTTCTTAGGGCCTCGTTCTACACCACTTGCAAATACTTGAGTTTCAAGTGCACACTAAACGAGAAATTGTGATTACTTTACACTCACTCGATTTATGGTTCCATGTACACTTGAGAAAACCCTTGAACAGGCTGCACACTTGAAAAACTCCGCGGCTTGCTGACCAATCCTGGACCAGGATGGCCTGCTGGAAAAAAAGAAAAAGAAAAACAAATGCTGGCGGTATCCTCAGGCACTTGAACTCCAGGCTCCCTAGAGAGGTACCTTGAGTTCCAAGTGCGATTTTGCCCCTGCCGCACTTGGGTTTCAAGGGCGGGCACTTGAGAGCCGGAAAGTAGAAACAACTCCGCGGCGACGTTAGGGTGGGGTCGACAAACAAAGGAAAATTTCCTTTGACCCTTGAGTTCAAATGGTGTCGATCGAGGCCCCTGCAGTGGAGCACAACCCTAAATTTTCAAAAGATAGCGCCACATTCATGTTCTCCCCTTTTGTGTGCTTTCAAAAGATAGCGCCACATTCTGCTCTTTTTAAGAAAAATCTCTTTTTTTCAAAAGATAGCACCATAAAAAACACATTCATGATGGTAGTCCCACCATCATGACGTATTTGGACCGAAAGAATGTCGTTGTACACTCATGCGGATAACAACTGTCGAGTTCAGCTGCCAAAGACGAGAACGGTTCGTACTGTATTCTGCCTTCCCGCAAAAATCGAGGAAGGACTACCTTAGCTGGCCTAGCTCAGTTGGTACACCCCACCCCTGTGTTGAAATACACGGCCTCCCTCCCTCCACTACTCTCGACATGTGCAAAACGACAGTGAATCTTATCTTCCGCTAGAACACACAAAGATACACACCGCCACGATTTTTGTTCTTGTATGCATGTGGAGAGTAGTGGAGACTGACGAAGACCTGAGTTCTAACTCCACCGAGGTCATGTCCCACTTGTCAAGGTTTAGTTCTCCTTCCGAGTATACATGGGCTCCCTGCTATCCGATCTGAAAATCTGACGGCCACAGTGTGCCCACGTTGAATAAAAATAATACACGAAACATAAACTAAACCCCAGTTAGTGGGACAAGACCCCCCCCGGGCCCCTGTCCCACTCGTCAAGGTTTAGTTCTGCTTTCGAGTATACATATGGGGCTCCCTGCTATCCGATCTGAAAATCTGACGGCGACACTTGAATAAAATAATACACGAAACATAAACTAACCCCCCGCTGCCGTCTTCACTCGAACGCCCGGTCATTATAGCTTCGAACGCCCGGTCATTATAGCTTTTTTTGGGGGGCAACTTCCAGTCCACATACACAGCGATGATTACCTGGGGTTCTATTCGGGTGAAGACAGTAGTGGAACAAGACCCCCCGAAATACTTGACGAGTGACATACTATAATTCTGACATACCCCAATTCTTTTTTTTTCTGTTTTCCTTAATTAAAGCCCAACCAATTCAATTACCTGTCAAATCTGGACAGGACGGCCTTTCAGGCCTTTTTATTGTCATTATAGTATTACGGGGACCCCCCCCTAGCAGCCACATCCGTGCTCAAGCCTCCAACCAGGGAACATTTGCGGGCGCTGCACCCACCAGCAGGTGCTACCCCTGCCACAGCAGGTGGGCGATACCTGCCAGGGGTCAGCCGGTAGCATCAGGACCTACAGTAGCTTCTTCGATGGGTCAGTCACTTTGCCTCCCCTCAGGTGGTGGTCCCCTCCCCCTATGAGCATCAGCAGTCTCTGCTCAATGCCACTCGGGGGGACCAACGGCATATCTCTAGGTGGGGGGGGGCAAGCTTAACCAGGAAGGTACATGAGGCCAATGGGGATTGAACCCAAGACCTCCTGAATGCCACTTGCGTGCCTTACCAACTGAGCTAGGCCGCTGGATCATACGCCAATTCTGAATTACCTAGGTCCGGTTAAAAAAAAAAAAAAAAAAAAAAAAACCATGATGACACCTCAACGTCATTTAGGGAAAAAAAAGCTAACAATAATAAAATATAAAATAAAACATTGAGGAAGGGCCTCGGTTCACTACCCGACATTCTACCTGGATCATACGCCAATTCTGAATTACCCAGGCCCGGTCAAAGCGATGATGACACCTCAATGTCAATGTCAATGTCATTTAGGAAAAAAAAAGCTAACAATAATAAAATAAAACATGGAGGAAGGGCCACGGTTCACTACACGACATTCTACCTGTATCCGGAGGGTGAACTTATCGATATACATTCCGATTGACCCAAAAGTTTAACGTGTATAGGGATCAATTACGTATCCAGATACATTCGGATCTGGCGTAGTAGAGCGAGACGCGAAGGCTCATCCATCTTCCTCTTACATACATCAACCTTATCAGTAAAACCCATCTTCCGGCAGCCTTATCTTTCTCTTAAGGGGGGGAAGAGGGGGGGGGGGGGACCGCCCAACCTTATCATACGAGGCCTCCTCTCTGTCGGGTACGCAGCGCCAATCAGCAAACGACGACCACTATCGGAATCATTTATTGATTTCTTGACTCGGTACGTTCAAAACGTAGGCGCTTGGCGCGCAATACGGCGGCCTGGAACAAGGCTCTGCGCTGTGTGCTCGGCGTAAGAAACCATCGGTCATCTGTTTCTCAATCTTCATACTCCCGTGTCACCATCCCCCCCCTCTTCTCTCTCTCGCTCTGTCCTTTTTTCTGTTTTTTTTTTATCCCTCTCTCTCTCTCTCTCTCTCTCTCTCTCTCTCTCTCTCTCTGTGGTTCGTCGGGTTTCTCTCACATTTGTGTGAGAGTGGGCCGGGCTCCAGTACTCTCGAAATGTGCAAAACGAGAACGAATCTTCCGCTAGAACATGCAAAGATGCACACCCATGATTTTTGTCTTTTGTGCATGCCGCTAGAACATGCAAAGATGCACACCCATGATTTTTGTCTTTTGTGCATGTCGAGAGCAGTGGAACGCGGCCCGGGGCCAGGTCCCACTTGCGCTGATCCTTAATTTCTGGTCGTTGATCTTCCAAATCTGCATTCGGATACTTAGTGGGACTTGGCCCCCGGTGTATACATGTACGTACGAGTCCGGACTACTCCATCAGGTCCTGAACGAAAAAAGGGCGAGCCAACCAGAGAGAGAGAGAGAGAGAGAGAGAACCAACGCAAACGAACAAACCCTTACATCTACGGCAAAGACAAACCCTTCGATCTATTAGATCTACGGCATAGACCTCCCGCCACTCAGGCCGCCAACGCGCAGCTGAACGGCGCAGCAGAGCCATTTTTTTCTCCCCTCTTTTCGAGATTCACTCCCTCCTCCTCACATCATACCCCTCCTCCTCCTCCTCCTCCGCGCCGTCGTGTCGTTCCTTGACCCCTGGCCTAGGTTGACGTTTGAACAAAGGTCTCTGCAATTCGGCATTAGCGATTTGATATCCTCCTTGAGACTGCAGAATGTCCGACGCCATAAGGTCACCCACTCTCGCGGATCGAACGGTCGTCGGTCGGAGATCTCCCCGGCGTGGCAGATCTGGATCTGCTCGCTAAACGACAAAATCTTCAACGGTCTCAGCGTGCTAATCTTGCCCAGCTGGACGTCGAAAGACGGCGAGATCCGATGCTTGGATGACCTGGAGTACCAGTCGTAAAAATACTCGTTCAGAAAACCCTCGGCATCTGGTCCTCTTTCGTTGGGCAGGTTCATTGCCTGCTTCAGGAGATCGTCGAAGGATTCCCTCGACGGCTGAACGACCATAACAGCGGACGAGAACTGATCAGGGGGGGAAGCGCGAGGAGCGGCAGCGAAGGGTGTGTAGTCAAACAGACCGTTAACATTCTCTACAAACAGTGACCGAGGGCTGACATAAGCAACCTTGGCCCATTCCGTTAAGTTCCACAGGTAAAGCACATTGTACTCCTCGCCAAGACTAACGGAACCAGGACTAACGGAATGAGGACTAACGGATTGGGTTACGTTAGAATCACCCACCACATCCTCCACATGCGCATGTGCCTGTTCCTGCCCGCTAGTGAAGGTGTGATTGGACCTTTCTCCACCGGAGGACCTTTGTCCATTCTCCCCGTTCGTGTCATTCCCTTCTCCTTCTTCTCCTCCTCCTCCTCCTCTCTTACCTCCTCCTTCTCCTGCTCGTCCTTCTTCTCCTAGTGATCGCTGAGCGACACCGCTGTCGCCCTCACCCAGCAGCAGAAGCCGTCTACTCTTGCCGCTGTTTCCAGCCACAGCAGTGTTTGTCGGGATGATGATCGGTGTGGAACTCAGCGTCAGAGGCGGCACGACCCTGACTATGTCGAAGAGAGGCACCAAGGGAGCCCAGAGATCGGACCTCATAGTTGAGGGCACCATCAGCATGATCTTCCGCCAGCTGCTTCCAGCTACGTGGTGCTCTCTATACGACGCCGCCCACACTCCTGCAGCCCCAACCGTCCTCTCAGTCACCAGAGTAACCACTACCTGTTCCCACGGTTCTGTCGAAAGAGGAATCGCTCCCTCCACTGGTCGATGCCCCTTCCTTGTGCCCCCCGGCATTCTCCCTAATGAAGCTGAAGCAGAAGCTGAAGCTGATGATGACGATGACGATGATAAGGAGGAGGAGGAGGAGGAGGAGGAGGTTGAAGAGTCCTGGATATGGGGGTAATAAGTCGGGTACGAATCAGGATGAGAAAGGAATTCCACCGGGGTTACTGATTCCGGGGGCTCGATAGGTAGCCAGTCGTTAGCCTCCAGTTTAGCGGCAAGGGCCTTCCATGCCTCACACCACACATTGGCGGCACATCCCTGCTCGTCCTGTACCCAAGGTCTGAACCCAGGATTAGCGAAATGCACGACGCGGATGGGTGCCGCCTTCTTCTCCTCCTCCTGCTGCTGCTGCTGCTGCGGCTTCTCTGCGGCAGGCACCCTCAGAGCCTCTCTGCCCAACTGCAGGTACTCGTCTACACGATTGACGTTGTACCATCCTGGTGTATTGTAGTTCTCTGGAAAGCCAATCATCACATTCACTCGATACGGAAGCCGATGCTCGGCGGTCATCTCAAACCAGCCACTGAAAAACGCATTGAAGAAACCCTGATGCGCAGTAGCAGCAGCTCGTTCTCCTCGATCCGAGTCGGTCTTGCTGCTGGGGTTGGGGTGCCGCTCCAGCCCCTCCACTGCCGACACCAGCGCGGCATATGTCCGATTGGACGGTCTGATTACCATCAGCCCGGTGTCGAACTGATCAGGAGCGTAGATGTCCGGAGCCGCAGATGGCTCGGGGCGGTCGAACAAGTCATCAAGCTTGTCGAGCACCATCATCTCCACGTCAATCAAGATGACTTTCGAGTAATTAGTGAGGGTCCAGGCATGAATCTTGTCGAACCCGGGGCAATTATACGGGTTGTCGATGCTGCTCACATTCACCACACTGTCGTAATGAGCCCGCAAGCGCATGCGGCTTTCCTCTCCGTAGTAGCCCTTCTCCTCGTCTTTCTTCTCCTCCTTCTCTTCCTCCCCTCTGTCGCCGTGCTGCTTCGTTCGATGGTCAGAGAGCAAAAGGACGAGATGATGAGCGGTACCGGTGCTCCGCAGAGACTGCGCTAGCACCAGAGCGGCGGGAACGAGATCGGGTGAGTGGATGACCGACACGTAGGCATACAGGTCCCGACTAACGACCAAATGCTGACCGACTGCGCGCCGAGCCTCCAGTTTGGACCCGATGTGATCGTTGCAGTTGATTTGGAACCCGTACTTGTCGCACATCGTCTCCTCCTCGCTGTGCGGCACCGCCTTGAGGAAACTGTACTGCAGGGGCATCGCACCCCCATAGAGGCGGACGAACTGTTGGAGGCACGCGGCGCGGCCCTGCTGGTGGGTCATCCGTCCGCCCAGCGCGCCCTCCGCGTACCTCTGCTCCGAGTTCCGCCCATCTCCCCAGTCCCGCGCCGCGCCCGCCACTAGCACGGGCGGCGACCGGCTCCTGTTGGCCACTAGAAAGTTCATCGCTATGTCCTCACAGTTCACCTCCCTATCGACCACCTCCCTCACCCCTGGCTGATTGCGACACGTGTAATCGTAAAGGTACTCAGTCGAGAGGAGCATGAGCTTGGTAAGCATCATGGAGTAGCAATCAGAACAGTAGTAGTACTGCCAGGTCCGATTAGTCTCGTCGAACACGTGGCACCGGGGGAAGAATCCGACGATGCGATCCCGATTGCTCTGCCAGACCTTGAGCGCAAACTCCAGACTCCCGGCCTCCGGCAGCACGTCGTCGTCGCACACGGCGACAACGGCAGTCTCGATGGCTGCGCGCGGGAGGAAGCGCGCGTTCAAACTCGTCGTCGTCTGACGAATGACGCGGATAGGAGCCCCCCCATCGCTAGAGAAAATGGAGGGTTGGAGGCGGGAGGGAGGGGTGAAGGTGTTCCCCCACAGGAGGAAGATGGCGCTAACGGCTGGGTTGTGCGAGAAGAGGCGGAGATTCTCCTTAAGCAGGGACAACCTGGACTCCTGGAAGCCATTGACCAGGAGGGTGAGTGTGTCTGAACGAAGGTCCGAGAGAGGAGGATAAAGAGAGCGGTTACAAATGGGGTCAGCAGGAGGAGGGGGAGGAGGAGGAGGGGGAGGAGGGGGAGGAGGAGTGGATTGTGTGCCGCCGCCATTTGCCCACTCGCCGAGGGACGACGAGCTCAAGGAGGAAGAGGAGTGAGAGTCGTCGAGAGCTCGGGGAAGAAGGTATGCCCATAACATCAGGAAGAAGAAGAGAATGATAGGGTAGGCCAGAGCGTGACGCAATGAGGCCATCCACTGTGTAGTCCCTTTCATTCCACCGTCGTGACGAGAACTAAAGAGGGCCATGGTTGGGCAAACATCACAAACACACACACACACACACGTGCGCAGACACTGAGCCACGTAAATTAAGTGAATTACGTAAATTACGTGAATTACGTAAATTAAAATGATTAAATCCGCCCTTCGGTTGTCCACTCTCCTACGGTCACTCCCTCGAAAGGATCAGTCGAGCACAGAAGACCAGACACCATCTCCAATCACATCGTCGTCCCTTCCGTCATGCCTCCCGGCCCCTAATTACGGGGATCTCGTGATCTCGTGATCTTTGAAGTTCGAAGTTTGAAAAGAACAATGCAGTACGCGCAATAGGAGGAGCCTCAGGATGAAATCCTCAGTCGTCGCAGTGCATGAAGGCTCTCTCTCCTTTCCTTCCTCCCACCTGCACTTGTCTGGAAATCAATCCCAATCAACTTCCCTGTAATTGCTATGCAGCCTGAGTGCATTTCGCACAAGGACAGGACCGTCCACCGTGCGGCCGCGCATCTCACATGACAGAGATCTCACTCCCTCTTTACGACCACTGCTGCCCTTCGTCTCTCTCTCTCTCTCTCTCTCTCTCTCTCTCTCTCTCTCTCTCTCTCTCTCGCTGGCTCGCTCGCTCGCTCGCTCTCGCTCTCTATTCGGTCTATGCAGCCTGAGTGCCTTTGGCACGAGGACACGACCCTCCACCGTGCGGCCGCGCCTCTCACATCATAGAGATCACACTCCCTCTTTACTACCACTGCTGCCCTCTCTCTCTCTCTCTCTGCTGCCCTCTCTCTCTCTCTCTCTCCACACACACGCACATGACCCCCGGCTTGCCGGCTCTCCACGCCTCTTCCTACCTACCTCTGTATGGAACCGTTGAGTTCGAGAGGAAGCCGAAGGAGGTTGGTCCACAATCTCCTACCACTGCTGCCCTCTCTCTCTCTNCTTCCTACCTACCTCTGTATGGAACCGTTGAGTTCGAGAGGAAGCCGAAGGAGGTTGGTCCACAATCTCCTACCACTGCTGCCCTCTCTCTCTCTCTCTCTCTCTCTCTCTCTCCACACACACACACATGAGCCCCGGCTTGCCGGCTCTCCACGCCCCTTCCTACCTACCTCTGTATGGAACCGTTGAGTTCGAGAGGAAG